CAGAAGGCGTTAGTGGCGCGTTGGAGAATCCAGCACAACCCGTATTAGATGTCGTATTTTTCGCCTCCTCTGTGCACGCACATGTTTTACTCACTAGGCAAACAATATTCTCGACTGAGTTAACGAATCTCCCCCTTTTTCGTCTGCCATTTAAAAGTAAAATTTGTGATTTTCTACACGTTCAAGGCAACGATATTACAGTAGGTTTTGTAGTTAATGGAAGCTCATACCTTCTTTGTGGGTGCTTATTTTGGAATATTGCACTTTGCCTATAACAGCTAGGACCACTACATAAGTGGATTGCATTTTCCGTTGCTGGCTTCCATGTATTAGGCACTTGGTAAATTTATATTTACTGATCTCCGTCAATTTGAACAACACATAATTTTCCAAAATCTATTATTATGTGAAAATCGGAACACCGTTGTTGTTGACGTCAATCTCGTGTCTCGCGTTGTCTCGGAGTAGTAAAACGAGCCCCACTTACTTTCGGTTGGGACATGTTTTTGGAGCATACAGTCAATCTTGTCTTTCCATACCTTCGACGTCCAGACGTCTAGACAAACGACGATGGACGCAGTCGCCAGTAAAACTGCACACATCGCATAAACTTGCAAGCTCAATCCTGTATAAACTCAGAGCTCATTAGTCAGCATTAAAGACGCTTTGGCGTTCGCACATAGTAAAATGTCACAACTGTCAACATTACGAGTGCAGAATGTTATTGCCGGAGAAGACAAAACTAAACTGGGCATTTGTGAATTACTGGCCGTCGTCAGCCAGTCATACACAACCCGGGAACTCACTCCCACGACCTGATATTCCAACGCATTTAGCCACGTCTAACTAACAGATCGCGGGATCGGGCCCCAGGTGTTCCATACTTTGGGTTTGTGTATGACTGGCTGACGACGACCAGAAATGACCATTCTAGTCTGCCTGGTCTGTGTTGGCAATAACATTTTGCCTTCTTTGACACTCATAATGGTAGACTGTCAATTTGAATGACGTCTTGACGGGCTTCCTCCGATGCTGCGACACACTGGTCCCTGTAAATCAAAAACCAAGTTTTGCACGTTAAAAACCAGTTTTAACATTTTTCAAATTTTTTAAAAACGTAACATTTCTGAATAACTTGACAGTAACTATAATGTGCTTTGTGTTTCAAATTCTTCTGTAACTTTTGTCCATGAACCTGTGTCATTTTGGTGGCTGTTAGCACTCATTCGTAAATGTCGTCACTCTTCATTTGCGAAGTAACACACTGTACGCAAAATATGCCATTATGCGGATTATGGTGGGGTGTATGGGTGGATATGTCTTGATGATTAGATCTGCGGCGATGTGGTTGCGTATGCGGGGATTTGCCGCAGCTGCCACGATGACGTATGCAAACCTATAGGCCCATGCGGTGAGTGAATGTGCATAAACTCTGAGGCTGTACGTGGGTTCTCCTAGTGCTGTCTCGCCAGCTTCTGTGTGATGTATTCGCAAGTGACCGACCAGACGGACGACTTAGATGAATATTCGGTTGTAATGAGGGCAGGGTGGAATCGCGTTCACATTGCAGGATGTGGGGTAAGGAATAGAGGAGGTGTTAGGAGTGTTTCGGTCATTGACGTTGATTGCCGGTGATGGTGCACAGTAAATATGACTAACAATGGTGAGGGTTGTAATAGTCGCGGTCGGCGTGGATGTAGGAACAGAGACAGTCATGTAGGCATCAATTTTGGCAGTCAGGCTCTTCGTGGATCGGGTCTGATGATGACCGACGAGGTCAGCCCACGCGCTGCATCTTAGGTGGGGTCTAGTGAGCACGCTGGAGGTCAGGGACGTATGCGATTTGCATCGGGATGCGCCTCGCAGATGGCTGCGACAGTCTTCACTGCTTTTCTTCAAGCCGCCTGAGGACATGTTAGGTCTCCGCGTCAATTGGCAGCCTTTTCAGAGAGTTGTAGACAGCATTCTACCAACGCCGTTTTCTCCACCAGGTCCGCAAGCTCCTCTGGCGACATGTTCATAAAAGAGTCCGTTAGGTAATTGCACCTCGTCCACCGCCACCACCTGGCCGCACTGCTGTAGTTGCCTCAGCTTGACATCGATGTTGATGATGGTGAATGTTGTTAGATCCAGAACGTCCGTGTCCAATATCCTGTCCTGCCATCTCACTCTCAGTGATGATGATGATGATGATGATGATGATGATGATGATGATGATGATGATGATGATGATGATGATGATGATGATGATGATGATGATGATGATGATGATGATGATGATGATGATGATGATGATGATGATGATGATGATGATGATGATGATGATGATGATGATAGCCGCTTGGGCTAGATCGCAGTCGGTAGCCAGGCCCCGAATTAGAGGTGACTGGGGGTTTGTTTACTGGGGCTACTTTGTGGGGCTCCATAATCACATGTGACCCATTTGGATTCCGTTTTACGGTGAAGTTAGGATTAGGCTACCGGTTAATAAGTGCCTAATTTGGGGTTAAGGCTACGCATTTAGGCTTAGGTTTTCGGCTTACGGTTAGAGTTTGAGCGTACAATTAGGTTTCAGTATTACCGTTAGGTTTTTGCAGTTACGGCCGTGCCTAATGGCTAAGGTTACGTTTACGATTTCGGTTAGGGATAAGGTTAGGGCTGTCGGTAGTGTTAACGGTTTACGTTTAATATTGAGGTTAGGGTTAAGGTTAGGATTAGGGTTTGGGTCGCTGTCCGCTTCCCATTCCTAGCTACCAACTGCGAACTTACCGCCGCTTGTTCTCAGTGAGGATGTCCTAGGTCTCCGCGTCAATTGGCAGCCGCTTCAGAGAGTTCTACCAGCGCCGTTTTCTCTACCAGGTTCGCAAGCTCCTATAGCGAGATGTTCATAAAAAAGTCAATTGGGTAATTGCACCTCGTCCACCGTCATCACCTGGCAGCTCCGCTGTATTTGCCTCAGAATGGCATGCATGTTGTTGATGATGATGATGATGAAGGCACGATCGCCGGGACAAGAGCTTTATTAGCCTGACGTTTCGGATTCCTACTCGAATCCATCATCAGAGACAAAAGAGCAGAAACGGGTGGTTGTTGCACAAGGGGCTGCGGTATTTATAGGATGCAGCAGCCATGCTACCGCATACCTATGAACGTTCACGGCTCCCCCCTTCGTCCGGGATTGTCACACTTGGTGTGATCATTGCTTGATGACCGACATTCGAGTCGATAATTGCTGCAATTTCATCACGTGCGATGGATGTTGGCGTGATGATTGCTCGACCATCTGACGCGTTGATCCGGGTGTTGGGAAGAGTGTTCACCAGTGCGCTCCCCGCGTGGCCAATTACACCGCCTAGACGAAGTCTCAGCACGCTGTATTGAATGGGAAGATAGTTGCACTTGTTGATGGACTGGGAGCCAGTAAACCATGATTCCAGTAGCTCCCGGCTCACTCGGTTGTCAACTCTTGCGAGAATTTCGGCCTCATCGAATTTAAATGTGTGGCTGGATCTCGTCGAATGAGCTGCAACTTGAGAGCTGGCGTCATTTCTGCGCACTGCTGCCGCGTGTTCGGCCATTCTCGTTCGGAGTTGTCTTCCGGTTTCTCCGACGTAGTTGCTTTGTCAGCAACTGCACCAGATCCGATAAACGACTCCAGACGTTTCTAGCCGTGGCAGTGGGTCTTTCGGTTTCATGATCAGACGCCTGATGGTTGCCTCCGGTCTGTGTGCCACTCCAACCCCAAGTGGTGCGAGAAGGCGGCCGACAGCTTCCGAAACGTTCTTGACATACGGAAGTGCCCGCCAAGACTTGGTGTCCGTGCGGTTAGGCCTTTCGTCCCTTTTGCGTATGCACCGGTCGACGAAGTTGCGCGGGTAGCCATAGGCTTTGAAGACCCGTCGGAGGTATTGTAGTTCAGCAATTTTGTCTTCCGGCTCACTGCAGTGCGTTTCGACATGCCGAAAGAGCGTCCTTACACAACTGCGTTTGTGGCTGCTTGGGTGGTTACTGTTGAAGTTCAGTACTTGCATCGTATTTGTCGCTTTCCTGAACACTTTGGCTTTTAGTTCACCACAATCTTTGCGACATACGAGGACATCCAGGAAGGCCAGCTGTCTGTTCTCTTCCTCCTCCATCGTAAATTGAATGTCCGGGAAGACGGCCTTGAAATGTTCTTGGAATGTCAACACCTGATCCCGTTTGAGAACGACGAAGGTATCTTCCACATACCGGGCCCAGAACATCGGTTTGTGGTGTTGGAAGACCAGCGACTCTAACCGTTGTAGGACCGACTCGGCGATGAACCCCGAAATCGGCGAACCCATTGGTGTGCCCTTCACCTGTTTGTAGATTGTCCCGTCGACCGTGAAGTACGTCCTGAGACAGATCTTCAGGAGCTGAAGGACTTGGGCGCGTCCAAGAAGATTCTCTGTTTTATCGTATTTGCTTTGTAGAAGCAGCTCGATTGTCTCGATCGCCAGGTCCTGGGGAATAGAAGTAAAAAGGGATGTAGCATCAAAAGATACCATTACCTCATTTGGATGGAGGCTTACCCCTTTCAGTTTCTCCAGGAATTCTGCTGACGAAAAGACCGTGGTGGCTGACTCAGCGGTCAAGAACTTGAGACGTCGGAACAGTCACTTAGCCACTCCGTTTCTAGGAGTACTTTTGAGCGACACGATGGGTCGGAGAGGAGCGCCGTCTTTGTGCACCTTAGGGAGGCCGTAGAATCGGGCCAAATCCGTATCTTGGGGTCTCGCCATACGTCTGTCGGTCGGTGTTATCGCACTGGAGTTCTCCAAGGCCAACAACGTAGCATTAATTTTGCGTGTCGACGCCTTTAAAGGCTTCTTTGCACATGGACCATAGAACTGTCGTTCCTCCAGTAAACCTTTGGATTTTTGAAGTTAGTCTGTCCTGTCGAGCCCAACAGTGGAGCGCCCCTTGTCCGCTGGAACGATGACCAAGCCTTTTTTAGGCCTGTGGGCCATTAAGAGAGACGGCACTTGGTGCAAGTATTAGCAAGTGCAATGGTCTTCCCATTCAATACTGGGTGCTGAGACCTCGCCTAGGCGGTGTAATAGGCTACGCGGGGTGCGCACGGGTGAACATTCTTTCCAACACCCGGGGTCAGCGCGTCAGATGATCGAGCAATTATCACACCAACATCTAACGCACGTGATGAAATTGCGGCAAGTAACGACATGAATGACGGCCATCACGCCACGTGCAACGATCCCTTATAAAAGAGGGGGAGCCGTGAATATTCATAGGCATGCTGTTGCACGGCTACTGCATCCTATAAATACTGCAGCCGCACATGCATGAACCACTCTTATCTGCTTTTGTCTCTGATGATGGATTCGAGCAGGAATCCGAAACGTCAGGCTAATAAAGCTCTTGTCCCGGCGATCGGGTCTTCTGCTTCAATAGAGAGTTCTATTAAATACAAACCGGCGACTACTTTACGCACCCAGCTTATACACTTTAAATATGGTGTTTGCTATCTAGACGATAGGGAAGTCGTCTACATGTGTCTAAAATATTACAATATTAAAAAGGGAGATTAAATATGAAAAGCATAAAGCGATTTTCGGGTTGTCTAATTCGCAGAAAAACATTACCACTTGTCATGAATCTAAAATTATTGAGCAAACCTGTTAAACCTTGCTTTGGTTTAACCCGCAAAATGGTTTGGGCCTTAGAACTCCGCCGAAAAAATACCTAATCAAAGCGCTTCGTAGATTGGCAGATATGGGAGACAGTGGTTGATGACCAAAGGCAATTAATTACTGACTTTCCTAAGGGACGTTTATTTTTCCAGATGATGAGGTTTGCTGCTCGAACGATGTGACCGAAATGGTCATCTAAATTGGAAAAATATTGTCCAAGATCTGCCTAATGAAGTAAATGCTTTCATGAAGTAACTCATGTTTAAGGTTCTGGCATACACAGAGCAGAATGCGCATCGAAATAAAACACAGAAAATTATGACACATTCGCACACACTTCCGGGACGACCTGATACGCTGTTGCCCCTGCGCTAGAAATGAAGTATAAACCATTTGATAGTTAATCAGGAATGCATCTCTATCGATAGAATCAAAGTGTGTGGTTACGACTGTACCTGGCCATCCAATTTACATTTATTTGTCGCTCGAAGTCTCTAAGAATATGGCCCTATGAGGACTTGTATTCCTTTGACGAATGTCTTTCCATCTATGTCAATCGCATCTTAAGCTAAGCACAAATAGAAATATATAGCCAATTATTATATTACTATTTTCAACTTTATTCTCAGACTAGGACCGTGCGGTAATCGCCATACCTGAAAGAATAGTTAGTTCTGGGGGATATTTAGGTACAAACTACTATAAAATAAACTATATTTTATTGTTATTTTATTTCAGTTGTTTCAAATAGTTAGTCACTCAGTAATACTTCTTACGATGAATCTGTCAGGTTACCTCTTTTCTGAAAGCAGGTCCTGGATCTTTCTAAGCTACTACTCGAGGCTATATGAAGGACAATTTGTTTCTCACACTGCTATGATCTGAATGGTCAATTTAACCAAAATTTTTTGAACAAGTCGCCGACTTTACAGAAGGCTAAGTGAGCATGTCCGGGGTAACTTGGAAAAGGCCAAGCTAGGGGCAAAAACAGGCCCGTTCTCGCATGTGTTCTTGATTTCAGTTATCGACTGGACGCCTTGTGATCTATTAGGTCCCATCTAGTTGCCCCAAGCCACTGGGTCACTGTATGCTAACATTAACTGAAGCGCCAATCATCGGGTTTCGAAAACCAATCTCGTTCGCACATAACAACGACGTTCAGACTCACTGCCTGCCGTGGTCAAAAGAAGAGTGCATGCACAACTCTCCGTACCCTTACACTCCCATCCTGTCAGTGGTATTCCCTGTTTAATCTCACCCCAAACCCCTCTTTTCACAAGCCGTCGGCATTTAAAGACGTTTTTTATCAATTTTTCTATTTATTGCAATGCTTTTTACATGTACGCTGTTTGCATAAATCTACTTGCAGGGGTAGAATTTGCCGAACTCAAACACATAGTCGTCTACTAGATAATTTTTGGATTCAAGCAACATTCTCCCGAAATCCTTCACGCTTTAAGCTAAGTCTGTGAAGCCACCGAGCGCATGCTAAGAGCACTAAATATCGGATGCGTGGAAAATGACACATTCCGAAATAGTTTATGCGAATAATTAAATTAAGACGCATATTTTGCTGATATTTTATCGACTCAGTTCCTATCGTCGCATTAAGTACGTTATACCGAGTGTCCCTATGCACTCTGTGGAAAGTTAAATCACTCTTAAGAACTATACCACG